GGGTCTAAAGGGCAAAGGAGGGTCCGTCTCCCTTCTTGGAGTAGTACTTGGCGATCGGCGCTAATCTTCGCATACAGGAATGCGTACAAATCTTCTTTCTGAAGGTATAACGCACATCGGTCATCTTTGCTGTGACTTCCTGGTTGAAAAACGTATAGCCTCGTCAATGTTGTCAGGCGCGTCCTCGTCATCGAGGTTGGACATGTCGAGGGTCCGAGACTGGGCGTCCCATTTGTCCTTGATAGTAACAACATTAATCGAGCGGCGACGAAAGGCATCATCCTGCTCCACCACCGACTCGGGGGTGATGGGTACGTCGTCGATGTCGAAGATAACTTGCTCAGCGGCAACCTTATCTTTCTGGGCCTTGATGGCCTGTTTCTGAGCCTCGCTTGCTTGAGTACTCACGTCGGCAGTCACTTTCGACTGCGTGGACTGCTGTCCCTGCTTCTTGGGCGGGGCCTGGCCTGCCTTTTCCTCTGGGGTGTGCGCCATCGCGGCGCTGCGACACAACTGCTTGAAAGTGATGGGATGTTTGATTTCCTCCCTGGAAGTGTATAGATTGATCTTGTAATTGTCACGAGCGACGTGGTCACGAGAGGCAAGCTAACACGTTGATACCAGGTCTATTGTAGAATCACAAGATGAAGAAGAAAAGAGGGAAACGTGCAAAGGTGCACGCGGGGTCTGGGGTTTTGACCCAGAGCCTGTGCGCCGGCCTAGAGCCTATGCGCCGGCCCGGCAACGGGTCGGTCACATATCTGGCTACACGGCTGCACCCCATGCCAAGGCCTGTCCGCCAGTGCCGTAACAGTTATTATCAATATAGTAGGGGGTTAAACGGGTAAAATAAATACGTTTATTACCGATATTTGCAACGCAATACGGTGCGCTATTTAAGATTTAATTATTAACAACCGCTTTAAGTCTGCTTTTGCGGTTCTCTATAACTCTTACTCCCTCTAACTACTTATAAAGGATGTACTTAATATCTCTACTTTTAAGAGTATTGTTTAAAAGGTTAGTTACTTAATTAATTACTTCCGGGTATTAAAATTGTAGTTGTTGTTACGAGGCTGGCGCCTAGGGGTGTTTGCCTAGCTAGCACTCGTATAAGCCAGGCGTGCCTTCTAGTTGGGTGTACGGGCCGGTCGGCTGTCGGTAGCCGTTTTGGCGCTAGATATACTACGTGCTATTGGGTACATCCTTCAAGGTGCGGCGTACGGGCTATATTTCTGGTCTTAGTATTTCTAGTACCTTTAATACTTATACTTTTCGTATATTTAGCTATCGGCTCTATGCTAGCCATACTGGTATAGAACCTCCTCCTCTTTGTTGATTATTTTAAGCTCTTTTTAAGGCTTACCTACGTATATACCTCGTAAATCCCTTATATTATAATCGACCCTCTTTTCAACACGTCAACTCCCTAGCGGTCTCTAGTATACTTACTATATTAGTTTCTCCAACTGCCTAAAGAGTTCTCTAGCCGCCAACTTTTTTTTTTTTTCTCTTTACTTTACTATACTACGCTATAGCTTCGATTCTTTAAGTTTAGAACGCTAGCGAGCGCTAGTAGTAATTTACCGCTACTATCCAAATTCTTATTAATAAATTAGTTACCTTAAAAATATTTGCCGGAAGCTCTAGTACTACCGCCGAAGGTTCCGGCCAGCCGAAACTAGTTCTCCCGCACTTTAATAAATATACCGATAATAAAAAGGAATTAAATTTGTAAATTTATACGGCTGAGGCTAAATTTTATATTAATAGCCGTACTATTAGTAATTTAGAGGCTTAGTTCTACTACTTTTACTCTAGCCTATTATTAGCCGTTCGCCGGACCCTATTTTCCTTTGTACAATCTCTAGCCAACTAGATACCGGCCGGGCTTTTCGAGAAGCTTTATATTAATTACAGTAAAGTTAACTAGGACAAGAAGACTAGCCTCAAACTCTTTACTTTGCAATAAAAGATTCGAGAATCTATTTTTACTTTCCTTATCCGGTTTAAAGAAGTACTTTACCAAATTAAAACTAATATATAATTAAATTAGGCTATAATTAACTTATTAATAAATTTATTAAATAATAAGTAGCTCGGCCGCTTCTGTAAATATTCGGAAGCTCTAGATTCCTATCCGGAGTTCTATAACTACCTTCAGCATTTAGATGGCAATAATTTTCTTATAGGGAGTACGGGGTACTCGAACTCTAGTACCGTTGTTATTAATAAAGGGGAACCGATAGATATTGCTGCTATTCGGACCGGGAATTCTAGCGGTCTATCGGATACTTAACGGAAAAAGTGGAAGAAGAAAGGTGCTTGTACGGTTTGCGGCTTACTATCTTATTGGGATAAGGATTATAAGTAGAAGGTCTAGATACGGTATATCCGGGTTATTCTAAAGTCGGAAGGGGGCCCGGAGGAAGATAACGAGATTAATAATAATAACGAGTACTAAGGTATAGATATTAGCTTAGTAAAACCCAAAGGGCGCTAGGGTTCCCTATAAGTTCAGCCGGACTTTAGAAATTCCCGGCCTAGGAAGGCCGTACGTACCCTACTAGCGCGTAAAGTAGTAGCGAATTTTATTAAAAGTATATATACTATATACTATTATTACTAGGGATAGGGAATAGTAGGATAGTAGTCTTCATAAATAGATAGAACTAGACATTATAGGGTATTTAGAAGATACCTAATATAGTAGTTACTATATAGTCCGGGGGTGTACTAGTACTAGCGTACGCGTAAAAGGATAAGTATTGAAGTAATAAATAGGATTTTCTTAGGAAGATATATTCGAATAATTCGGACTATTAATTGTTTACTAAAATGGTAAGAAAAACCACAACAACAACACCACTACTACAACTAGTATACCGTATAAGAACTGTTATTCAATTCCAATCGGTAGTCTAATTAGAATAGGGCTAGAAGTGATTTTTCAAACCTTTTAAATAGTCGAGAGGGGAGGTACTAAATTGGGTAGGTTTATTGAGGATCTCTATCTATTATAGGATTCGAAATCTTTCTTCGAGAAGGAATAGGGGTAATTATTAGTTTCTTTAATAAATATTTTATTTAGGGCAATAGTAAAAGAAAAGAATAAGATCCCTTCCAAAGGGGTCAAATGATTACACAATACTTTAAATAGATAGAAGTAAATAATTAAATATTACTAAAGATAGTCTTTATAAATAAAGATATATAATTAAAATTAATAAATTAGTATAATAACTATTATAATAATTTCTTATTATTTTATTAGTTATTATTAATATTTTATTCTTCTCTCTTACTCTTTCTTACTATCCCTACCTTTTTTTTCTTTATTTATCAACCTATTATCTTATTAAATGGATCTTTTCCTATTTTACCTTCTATTAATATTAGTAATTAGTATTTGTTAATTTTGTAGGTATATTCTTAATTTGTATGCCCCGCCAAATAAATGAAAGAAATTTATTATAAAAATTAGTATATATACCTTTAAAGTATCCTACTCCCTAAATTAAATCTTCCTTTTGAATCTATAATAGGCCCCCTGAATAGATTTACTACTATATATATATATAATTAGTTTACTCTTCCATTACCCTTATTCCCTCTATAATTCCTTTTACCCTTACTAACTAAATATTTTTTATTACACCCAATTATAAAAAAACGATTATTTACTAGTTTAGTATAATCTTCCTAGGACATTCCTATAACCTATTAAGGTCCTTATAGTTTTAAACGAATAATTGGATTAAATCTTTCTTTAAAGTTTATTGTATTTAGTAAAGGGTTATTAGAATTATATTTGGGAAGCCTATTTAAATTACGCTTTATATAGCGAATAGAATAGATTAAAGAGTTTATTTAAAATTTATAGAAGGAAGGATCGATTTATATTTCTACTATTAGTTTATTAACTGCCGGGCTCTAGCCTATAATAGGAATTTCTCTAGTTGAGTGAAAGCTATTAAATTTGTTTGCCGGGGATAATTCCTATTGTGATATAGGTATGGGGGTAGATAGGTTATGTTTATATTGCGAGGAATTGGAGGGGGTAAGCGAATTCGGCGTTCTCTTAAGATTTAAAGGGATTAGTAATTGATTAGTCCTTTTTGGCTAAGTAGGTATTTATACTAAATTTATTAATAACCTAAGATTATTTAGTAAATTAATATTTCTTAAGATAAATAGAATTCGGCTTTCGAGTAACGATTAAAAATATTCTATATTCTTAAGTAGTAAAGAAGTTTATAATTGTATATAATTTATTGGAGTATTGAATAAAAGATTTTTAATTGCATTAAGAGGGTTATATATAGTAGGTATTAATTTATAATATAATTATTTATTAATAACTAGTTAAATAGAAGTACTTTGCCTTTCGTTAGATTAAGGGTTTAAAAGCGATAATACTATTAGGCAAAACGAAGTTAGAGGATAAGGCGGTTGATTTATAACTTTGGAGGTTTGAGAGTGAATTATGATTTTTTGAGGCGGGGTTGGAGTTGAATTGTGAAATAAAATTTTGGGTAGGGGCGAGTAGATATTATTAAAAGAGGAGATTAATTTCCTAGCTTCTTTAGGTTATATTATAGAAGGTTTGGAATTAAAAGAGGAAGAATTGGAGGATGGAGAATCTTTTTTAATAGAGGGTATTACTGTTGAATATTTAAACCAAGGAAGGTCTATAATAGCGTTAGAACCTAACTTTAATTAATAACTATACTAGATCTCTATTCCTTCTTATTTAACCCTTTTTCCTTTATAGGTATAGTTTATATAATTTACTAACTATATAAGATGTTATAGTTTATTCCTAGAACCTTTAATACGGGTATTCTAGGTTTCTAATATAGTATTTAATTTATTATTTTCTATATAGGCCTTTTAATTTTTAAATAAAGGTAGTAGGCCGTTGGGGCGCTATTGCTTTGTCCGTAAGGTATTGTAAATTATTCTCTAGTATTATTATACTATAATATTCTCTTTTTAGCCTTAGTTAAATATTATACAATCCTTCTATACGGTATTCTAATCTTAGGTTTTTAGTACTATTATTTAGAAGTTTGGATTATATTCTATTAGCCTTATTAATATTACTTCTATTACTATTAATCTACAGATTTATTAGGTTTATTAAATAGTAAATTTAATCTTCCAAATAATCTTTCCCCTTGCGGTCTTTATAGGTATGCCCTAAATATTAAACTTATAAAAAAAAGTAAGTAAGGCATTTATTATAGAAATTGGTATGGAGCAACTATGACTAGAATTATAATAGTCCTATTGATGTATAAGTTAATTAAAAATACTTATTGAAAAGTATTATCCTTTAAGGTAAATAGGAATTACTTAGAACCTTATTTCCCGTATATATTGTACAATATACTCTAAATCAATTAAAATTTTTAGGGTATTGTGTAAATCGTCTATTCGAATATATTTATTTAGTATAAAGATTATTTTTAATTTGTTTTTAGTTATTTATAATAGGAGGGTAATAAGATTATTAGTATAAGTGTAGGTATATTTATCGATACTATACTAAAGGTTGGTTAAGCGGACTGCGATTTGCTTCTACCCTACGAAATTATTTTTATTAGTTGGAAAAGTATTTGTTTAATTAAGTACTAATTTAGAATTAAAGAGCCTACTAAATAGTTTATCGGTATTCTATTCCTTATAGGGTAATTTGAGGTTAAATTGCTAGTCCTATTATTTTTTATTTAATTTGGGATAGAAAAGAGGTGTATACCCTTCTTTCGACTTTAAATCCTAAGAGGGGCCAAAATATGCTTGTTTAGACAAGTCCTAACCGTTAAACTTCAGTACCTAATTGTATAGCTAGTTTATTCTTATAATATATAGTTAATTAATAATAATTGCCTCCGGATTGGAAAAAAGACTCCTAATACTTATAAATATACTATTTAGTAAAGCCTTCAATTACTTTTATTATTAGTTCGGGCGTAAGATTAGTATTTGGGCGAAGTATTTTATTAATTATATCTTAGGTAATTGCTATTTTGAGGGCTTTATTAGTTTATTTAAACCAATAGCTTAATACGGATCTAACTATTCTTATATTAAAATTACTAGTATTTAATTATTTAACCGGATTTTATATTGTAGGGCTCGTTAATAGCTAATTAGAACGAGTAAGTAATTAGAGTTTCTTAATTATTAATTTAATTAGATCTAGCTGTATTACCTATAGCCGGGCTAACCTAAGCTTTATTATTGGAAGAAATATAGTTATTAGAAGATATAATAATATAATATCCGAATTAGTAATTAATTTATATTCGTTAAAGAGAAAGTAAAGATATTTAATGTTTTAAGGCGTACTAGGTTGAATTTAGTAGAGGAATAGAAGGGGTATGTAGTATTAGATTAGAATTACTATAATAAAGAAGAAAGTATTTAGAAGTTTTAGGCTTTTTAATATTATTGCTGTGAGGAGAAGAAGGGAAAAGTAGGAAAGAGGCTAGGGAAGAGGGTATTATATAAATATTTTATAGATTATTTAATTAGGGAATTTAAATATTAGAAGTATCATTTTGAGGCTATTACTCGTTTAATTTACAATATAATACCTAATTTCTTAGTATTTACTTCTAGTATAACCGATTTATCCTTTCTTTTAAAGTTATTACTTAGGTAGTAACCTTCGAGAGTTAAAGGTAATAATAATCTTTTATCTCTTCTTTTTCGGCGGTGGTAATTATTTTAATAGTTGCCTATTGTAGTAGTCTCCCTCTAATTAAATACCCTTATATTGAGTAGAAAGTAATAGATTAAGTAGTAATAATTTATAGTTTGGGTATAAAAAACCTATTTCCTTTAGTCGTTTTCTCCTTTTTCTTCCCTTCAATTCTATTTTTTTTTTTTAATTTTTAATTTTTCTATAAAATCCCCTCTTTCTACTTCAAATACGTTTATTAAAATATTTAATTATAAATCTAACGAACTTTCTCTATACTAGCGGTTATTAAGATTCCTTCCTCCTATATTTATAAATTAACTAAATAATATTCGTTAGAATATTTATAAAGGTGATATTTATTAATTATAGAACGAAAATAATTGTATTCTAGTATTTTGTACTATTATCTCCTATTAAATTTAGTATAACAATTAATTAAAGGCTTATAAATTCCTATATTTACGTGTCTAGTAATAGATTGGTAATGGACTATTATTTTTAAATATTATTTAGGGAGTTTATATACTAATAGAGGGTATAAAATTAGTTATTATTTATTTGAAGGTTTATATAGTCTATTATCCTTCTTAAGCGTTATACTTCGTCCTTCTATAGCGATTTCCTACCCGTATAGAGACTTTTTTGGAAGTGTTTAACGGTTTTGGGGCTAAATTACAATTCTTTAATTAAGTTAAACAAATTATAATTATTAATAAATTGAATAAAAATCCGGTATAGGTTAATACTAAAGGTAGTTAGCCTTTTAGTCGCTATACCTACTATATAGTTTAATAGGATGAACGGTTGAAAGTGCTTATTATTTAGATTTTTAATAAAAAATATATATTTTTGCTTATTAATTAGTTCTCTATTAATTTTTTCTTTTAAATACTAGTAATTCCCTATAGTATAGTTGTTGTATGGCGATGTTTAGGAAGGAATATATATTAATATACTACGGTAATACTAATTAGTTTAAACGAATTCGAATTATAAGTCCTTTTACCGAATGCCGCTCCCTCCTACTTCCTAGCCTTAAAAATAGTATTTATAGCAATTATATATAGTACTATAGAAGGGTTCAATATTATTTTATAAGTTTTATTTTCCTAGAGTATATTCGGGAAGTAAATATATTAAGTATTGATACGCTTCTTACTAGCTAGAGTAGTAGTATAGAGGATTGGATTATAGTTAATATTCTTCTATTACGATTCTGTATTAGAGTATATTTTGGAGGGGAATTTAAGCCTTGGGTTGAGTATTTTCAACGGGAAAGGGAATTGGGTATTAGGGGACCGGGGTTAGATTCTTCTAATATATAAAGGTTTATAAGACAATTAATATATTCGCGCTATATTTTAGGGTAAGAGTTATATAAAAAATTTCTCGTAATTTTTAATTTATTTAATATTCTTTAAGGGGGATATATAGAAATTCGTAATAATTGTGAGTGGTAATTTTTAGTTTCGTAGAGGCAATATTTATTTTAATCTTTTTTAAAGTTTATAACTATTAATTAGGATTATAAGGATTATTAATTAGGAGTAATATAAATTCTAGCGTAGATAGTAGGCTTTAAAAAATAATATTAATAAACAATTTCTTTTATTATTTAATAGTATTAATCTTTTTATCTTTTTCTTCCCTTCAAAAGGAATAACAATCTTTATTCGGTTCCTTTTGTACAAAATAATAAAATATATTTATAGCTTATAATTTATAATATTACCTAATTATTTAAAGTATTAAAATTCCTTACTACTTAATCCGGAAGTTGGTTTCCAATTTTTAGGCTTTCCTTTATACAAAGTAATTTTAAACTTCTTATTATTCTATTTAGTCTACTAGCGTATTTCCCTTCCTTTTTACTAATTAAACGCCTTAATTATTTAGTTATTATAATAATTTATAATCCTTTCCGTTGTATCTTCATTAATTATAATTTCTTTTAAAGTTTCCTTCGGATAAAGTAAAGGAAGTATTTCCTAAATAATTATATTAGAGTCCGGTTTTAACTATATTCTATTATATAAAAAAAACTTTTTAATCCTTTTAATTAGATAGGAAGTCGTAATATTAATACTATTTAAAGTTTTTAAAAGGTATTTATATTTAGATACAATCTTTCTAATTCAAAATAGGCTAAGCTATTAATAAGTGAATTTTCAGACCGAACTTATATTAATTCTCCAAATATAATTATATATAAGTACTAAATTACTTACTATTAGTTTGGTAATATTTAGTTTAATCTTTCCTTTATTAATAGTATTACAGTATTCCGCAGCTTTCTACTTTATTATTGAGATTTGTTTAGCTACTAAATTAAATCTATATTTACTATCTTATAATAAACGGGCCTTAGTAAGTATTAAATTGAGCCGGGTTTTAAATAATCTATTATCCTATATATTACCCTACTAGGTCATTTTCTAAGAAGGTAAATTTAATTTAATTAGAAATATCGGATTATAATTGTAATTGAAAAAGAAGGGAGTAAAATTGTAGTTCCTTCGGACTATAATCCGATTTATAAATAAAATATATAGTAATTAGGGTTTTTAGTTAGTACCCTTACTATTTATAACCTTTATAAGGGCGGCGGTAATAGGAAAGTGCCCGGCTTTATTAATTCCGTTAATTTTAGAATTATATAGCGAAATTCTAATAAAAGGGATATATAGTATTATTAATAACCCTTTACATTTTTTCCGGAATTTTAATCTACTATTAATAACGATTAATAAGGATAGTCCCTATGGATAAATAATTTATATTTTAATAAAGCAGGCTATAGATTTTATATTTATTACTAGTAAAATTTTAGTTTCTATATAGTTAGTAAAGTTATTCCGGGCTTTAATTATTCTAATTCTTTTCTTATTTCTTCTTAATAAGTATTAAATATTAAATATCTATTTATAGAACGGTTATAGTAATAGATTAGTATATTAAAAGGTATTAATAAACCGTTTGGAATTTTATTTCTAATAATTTAGGTAGGATTTAATACGCTTTTCTATATTAGAATAAATACTTTTCTATTAGTAGAAATCGGTAATACAATAGTAAATTAATTTTTTTTCTTTATAACTAACTTTATTATAGCATTTATAAAAGACGGTATCCTAATTAATTTTATTATTAATGAGCCTATATAGTATTTAAATAGTATTTATAGGGATTAATTATAGAACCCTATTACGGAAGAAGTATTTTAATACTTTTAATTTGAAGCGTTGTTTTTTGGATTCGGTTTTTAAATTAGTAGGAAAGTCTAAGGTTTAAAGATACTTAGTAATTCTCTATAATTGGTACGATTAACGTCCTTTTAATAATTTCTATATTTTCTTCCTTTTACTTGGAGGGTCGTTGAACCTAATTATATAGATTTATTTATTTATATAATTATTAATATCCTCTTCGTTTTCCTTATCTTATTAATCCCGATTAGAGGGAGGTATACGAGAAAGATTATTGGCGATTATGTTTTTCTTACTAGGGATATACTTAATTTTAAAGTCGAATAGACGAATTTAAATAATTTAGTATATAATTAATACTCTAAGGATATTAATAATAATACCCTTTAACTAATATACTATAATTTGGGTATTAGTTTTAATAACGAATTTAATACAAAAAAGATATTACTTTATTCGCTTTAGGGTATAAAGTAGGCTCCGAAATTCTTATTTAGTAATATTATATTTCTTTTCAATATTTAATTAAATACTACTTTTAAAAAGATATAAGTATCGTTAGTTATCCGGACTAATTTATTTAAGGATAGCCCCCTAACCGATTAATAATATATTTACAATAAGAAAGATTATTCTATAGCGGGGATTATTATAAATAATTAGTACGAAATATAGTATTAATAAAACCTTATATTAAAATATTCTAAAGTAAATTATTTATTCTCAATTTATTACTATTTTATATCCTTCTTTAATAAGGTATAGAGAGGGATAGTAATAGTATTAAAATTTTTAATCCAAATATAATAGTACCTAATAATTCCTAGGAAGGCCCTTAGTTGTTAAAACTCCTTCCCTTTTTATTTAATAAGTTTATAATTAACTTACTAAAGGATTCTAGAGACCTTTTTAGGAGATAGTTATTAACCGCTATCTAAATAGAGGTAGCCTACGAATTCAACTTCCGGCTAATACTATTTAGATTTTTCCATAGTAATAGTACAACTACTAAATTCGATATTAATAAGAATTTTATTAATATTAATTAAATAATTGAAAATGTACTTGCTTATCCTAGGTCTAGTTTCGAACCTGTTATAATCTATAGTAATTAAAATAACAAGATGTTATTTAAATAGGGTCGATAGATGGTAGGAATTAAATTATATAATACTCTAATTATTATTTTTAAAAACTTAATAATTAAGTTCATTCTCCCTTAGGGTAGTATAGTTATTCTTTTAACCCCTATTATAGTTTAGAAAATAGTAATATCCCTACTCTTTTTATTAAAAGGGATTTAATTATAATTAGAAAAAGGTTAAAAAGGGAAAGTATTTTAAATCCCCTAAATTCTTTATTAAATTCTTTATAGCTAGGGGGTATATTGGAGTTACGTAGAGTAACTATATTAATCCGTTAGGTATTATTAATTAATTGAAGCCTATTATTTTTCTTAGTTATTAGAAACTAATTATTTCGGTAGGCGGTATAATTATCTTCTAGCGTTCTACGCTAAATCCTATCCTTTAATAGCTTATAAACCCTTTTATAATTAGCCTTCGGTATAGGAATTAATTTATATTACTATGTTGAGTGTGGGATAGTGCTAATCTCTTAGGGAGGAAAGACGTTTAGTTCAATTTTTCCTACTTTATTAAAATCCTAAATAAAAATTACTTTCCAATTTTAGAGAATATAGATAAATATTTCTTATTCCTTTGTATTTAAATTATTATTTAAACTTTCTAATATAATTTAAAGGTGTTTAGGGGTTAACCGTTCCCTTTAAATAATTTTAAAAAGTGTAGAGTAATAATATTATCCTATAGTAAAGGATGAATTTCCCTCTTTTCTTTTAATTATTCCTTTAAAGCTATAAGACGTTATAATTTCTATTCTAAGTTTTCTTCCAGCTTTGACCCGTTAGAAGGTGTATTATTGATTAATAATACTTTCTAATCTTTTTACTTATATATTATATAGGCTATAAAACTCTCTAAAGGTATCGTTCCATTTGGTTGCGGCTAATTAATTATATCTTTACTAATTACTAATTTATTACCTTTCTAATTTTTCTTCCTTGTATCCGAACTTTAAAAACATTATTACGATACTTTATAACGAATAAAGTTATATACTTACCTTTTAAATCCTTTCTTAAATTCTTTATTTTCTTTCTTATCAAAGGGAATATACCCTAATATAATTATACTAAATATATTATTAGTAGCGTTATAATCAATTTTATTAAAATTTCTAAATAAAAGCCTTTCTAACCTTTTCTTATTGAATAGTTCGTCCTATAAAAGGTCTTGGAAAATTTCCAAAATAATCGTCCTTAAGTAATAATATTTCTTTTAGACTCGCTATAAGTATTTATATAGTTAATTAATTATTGAATCCTCTATCCATTTAAGGATTTTGTTTTAGGTATTACTATTGTACTAAATAGGAGCGAATACGTAAATATTAAAGTCGACCTTTAAGTAATTAGTAATTTTATTTAGGGTGGACGGTTATTTATTATATTCCTAGGTATACGGTATTGCCAGTGTATTTAATTTTGCCTTCTCCTTAGAAATAAGAGTAGCTTTTACGATAGTTTTTTCTATTAGAATGTTTGCCGATTCGATACTATAAGTTGAATAATTCAATTTAATTTAGGCATTTTTAAAGAAAGGTTGCTTAAGAATAATATTGTAGTATGGAAGGTAGGTAGTATTAACGAAGAAGTATACCTTATAGGGAATATTTATTAATTATATTTATATATAGGCTTTTCTAATAAAGTTTTATTTTCCATTATTACTATTAGTATTTAAAATACCGGTATTGGTAATGGCTAGCTTATATTCCTAAACTATTCTAAAGGTAATAGTATTTACTTTAACCTTAGTATTTAGGAGAGTTTTAATTTTTAGGCCCTTTTGCTATAATAATATAAATAGAGTAGGTAAGATGGATATCCTAATAGTATTGCTTAAATAAGATAGGTAGGATAATTTATATAAGTAAGTATATAATTATAGAAGAATAATATTTTCCATTGCATATTCGAAGGCCAACTTTAATATATTTTTCTAAATGAATTTAATAATACTATCTAATTTCTAATTAAGGTAATAAGTAGGAATATTAGGAGGAGCTTTATTAGTACTAACTTCCTTAATCGATATACTATTAACTTAATATTAGGTTAAAGGAATTATTTGATTTGCTTCTTGTAATTAATTTATTATAGTATTGCCTTTATAAGAGACCCTAATAATATTATTTTTATTAAAACCTACTTTATATTAAATTAAGGTAATTAAGGTAATAGTGAAACGTTAATCTATATAATATAATTCCCTAATTTAATAAGGGATATTATAGTTTATAGTTTTTGAAATTAATAGGTACTTTTCCTTAATCCGCTTAATAGTTTCTTTTGCTATTGCTTTAAGATTAATAATTTTAGTTAGTTTTATTAGTGAGGCTTTAGTTCCCTTCTTTTTTTTATTAGAATTCAGAGTTAGGAGATTAATAACTTTATTTTTAATTATTAATTTTAAAATTTTTATAGGCTATATAATTAGAAATAATTAATTAGATTCCGAAGGAGGTTGAAGTATTTTCTCAAATATAACTATATTTTTATTAATAATATCCAATTATTATAACTACTTATTTAAACGATTAGAGAAGAATATTTCTTTAGTAAAATTAACTATTTTATCGTTAGGTTCGCTAGAATAAATATTCTTTTTAAAAAGTATTAGATTATTTACTATATTAGTAATCGTTTACCAAGTGCCTTCGAATTAGCAATTTAAAGATTGTATTCTTTTGAGAATCTCTATTTAATTTTCTTTAAATTTATAAATTATTATTATAAGAAGAATTGGAAGGTTATAATTTTTAAATTATTCAACAGAGTTTATAGGTGCTTTTATATATTACGTAATAGGAAATACTTACTTAGAAGTTATAGTATTGTAATTTAACGGCGTTAATTCTAGTAATAGTATTTTTTCTATAATTATATTCAATAGATTTTTGCTTAAAGAGGGAATTAATCCTATAGTAAAGTTTAATTTACTATTTAATACTTTTCTTAATACTTCTTTTTAGAAAATTGGAAGAAGTTAATCCCCGTCAGTTATACGAGAATAGTTAACGAAATAATAATATAAATTTTATAGGTATTTTATTAGTATTTGGCGAATAATTACTATTTTATATTCGTTTGGGTTTCTTCGATAAACTTTTTATATAACGTTTAATTTATTGGTTATATAGTAGTAAGTAAGTAGATTAGTGTTTGTTATATAAATAGAAATATTAGAATTACTATTTTATTACTACTAATAACTATATATTCTATTTAGTAATAGAGAGAAGTTTGGTTCGAATTTCTATTTCTTCTTTGTATTCTAAATTTCCTTTTCTTATCGGTCGAAAATAGTTTTATATTTAGGTATTATATTATAAACTACTATTTAGAACTTTATAAGAAGCCTTAGCTTCCTTTTTTTAGTAATTAAAATAATTCTTTTATTTGGAATATAATTGGAAATATTTTTTTTATTTCCAATTATAATAGTCGTTTGTATACCGAATATAGGATTTTGAGCCCAGTAGATTATTAGCTTGCCGATTTGAATATTATTTACTATTTCCTAATATTAATATTAGTAGTAACGATTATTGTACTAGTAGTAACGAATTTAGTAAGAATCTCCGCGGCTTTGAGCACCTCCTTTACTTCCTCTTCCTCCTTTACTACCCCTTGTAAAGAAACTACCTAAATAGCTTAATCCTTTATTAATATTATTAGTCTAATTAACCGCTGATAAGAAGTTTATTTAAACTTCCTCCTTCTATTTTTAAATTAACCTTTTATTAAATTGCAATTATATAATTTGTATTCAGTTGAATTTATTAGTTATTTTTTTAATATCCGATTTATTAGTTAAATAGTTAATAGTAGGTATAGAAGAAGTAATAGTTTAATTTATCGAGGGGGTATTCGTACGGGAAGGTTAATTAGAGTTACTTTCTAATCCTATAAGGCTTTCTTTCTTATCGATATTTATAGAATATCCTTTTTTATATCCGGGCTATACTAACGCTATTTCTAATAAGAGTAGTAAAATTATCCTTTATATAACTATTATTATTAAAGTTAAAGTATTTAATAATAGTTTTAGTAATATTAATATTAAATTCTAATTAGGTTATATTGTAAACCTTCTTTTTAAAATTAATAATTATTATTATTATCTACCTTGTTTCTTTTATAATTTTCTTGTAAAAGTTTTGTATTGCTATTAATTAACTAAATGTCTTTTCTTTTTTAAATTGTTTTATTAGAAGTACTAAGTATTATAGGATTGCCTGAATAATTTTTTCTTTATTATATAGGATAAGTTAATTATAGAATACTTTTAATATTGTAACTTTGCTATTTATTTATTTAGGGTCTTATACTAGGAATTATTATTTATAAAGGCGATAGAACTCTTTTTAAATCTAAATACCCTTAGAGTATTGCATAATATTCTTTGCAATTTCCCTATAGATTTTCCTTACATTTAGTATGTACTATTGGTACTAAGTATTAAATTTAATTTAATTAGGGAGGAAGTAGCTTTTAACTCCATTATTAAATTCTTTTAAATATATAGAGATATTTTTCCTTTCAAATTTCTCATTAGAAAGATAATCTTTTACAAAGGAAGCTACGAGGGTCTTACCTATTAATAATTATATTAAATAAGTAATTAATAAATTTTAAAAAGGGTTATTACTTACAATTGGTTGAGATTTGTAATTGGATTTATATTGCTGGGTAGGTTAATTAAATACTATATAGATAGGCTAGTTAAATACTTCGCGGGTAGGCTAATTAGATATTATATAACTAGATTAATTAATTACTATATTACTTAGTTTTAACAATTTTAGAGAAGAATACCAATTATAATTAAAAAGGGAAGAAGTAGAAGTAAGGGTACAGGGATTTTAGTAGGTAGGTGAATATTATTTAGGTTTAAAGCCTTAGGGATAATTAATCTCTAATTAGGTATAATAAAATCCTAAAGGCGGGAAAATAAGTTGTAGAAAAATAGTAGTAGGATTCTAATATTAAATACAAAGTTTAGGCGAAGAGGTAAATAAGGTATATAAATATAACGTATAAGTAGGATTTTATAGAATTAATAATAAATATCTATAGGTAGATTAACTATATTTACTATAATATTAGTAGTAGGGGATCTAGTAAGGCTCTCCCCTACTTAGGTTGGGCGAAGGATTCCTAAAAGGGATAGGTGACGGATTTTTGGAATAAATTGGTGAAGGAATTAAATATTAATTAGGCAGCGGAAAAGGAAAAAAGGTTATTTTTAACGAAGAAGTAGAAGAAGAGAGGATAGGATTCGAGAAGAATAATAGAAGTAGTTCTGAAATTGGTATAGGAGGTAGATTTAATACTTCCTAATCCGTTTGTAAGGCTAAGATTGCAAAGATATTCCTATTGTTCTAAATCCTATTAGTATTGTTTATACTACTCGTATATTATTTGTCTTCTTTTTACTAATTTGCCCTCCCCCTCTTTCTTTTTGAGATGGATTTCTAATTCTTTTTAATCAACTTCTTTTCCTTTCGGGTACTTAAGTACCTATTTAATTAGAAATCCCTAATCGGCTCTTTTCTTTTCTTATTTTCTTAATATCCTTCTCCTTTTTTTTTCTTTTTAAGGAAAGAGATTTTGTAGGTTCTTTCTTTTGTTATATCTTCTAACTTTCTTTACTATTAATATTAGGAAGGAAATAATCTTTATTTATATTAATAATATAATTATTAAAGCTCTTCTAATAAAGATATAGATAATTAATTACCTCCTATTACTTCCTGAAATACGGCGGTAGTAATAATTATAATTATAAAAGACTATTAATAATAATTGATAGTATACTATATAAAGGGAGGATTCGGAGGTGATAGTTAGAATTTTTTCTTATTAAGAATTAATTATAAATTTATAAGAAAAAGGCCTGGAATTTATTTAATTTGTTTGTACTTAGTTCGAGGCTATATACTATTATTTTAGGAATATTATCCTTTAGGAACTTTAGTATTAGTAATTACCCTACTTATCGACGGACTTTTCTATTATTATTATTCTTAGTCGGTCTTATTATTAAATTATTATTATTTAGTAATTTATCGGCTATTTATATTTACTTATATTTAATTATTACTATTCGAATATTTATTTATTTATTTAATTATACAGCTAAATTACTATTATTTAATAGTTTATTTATTATTTGTACTTACTTACATTTAATTATTACTAACCTTATTAACTATATTTATTAATTATTCTTACTACCTTACGTTTTATTAATACTATTTAGGCTATTATTTGTATTTTAACTTTATATTTGAATAGTAATTTAATAACTACTTAATTAATTATATTATTAACAATCTTAATATTACTATTTACGTAGCCGTATATTGGGTATTATCGAAGGCCCCGGACTATTATAAATATCCAGTATTATATCTTTTATACTTTTCTAAATTAAGGCTATTTAAGCGCTTTTTATAATAATTAATCGGATATTATTAATAAACATTAGGCGAACCTTAACGAGGATAGGAAGCTATAAATTTCCTATTTTTCGTTTTAGTTAGTTTAGTATAGAATGTAAAACCTATTTCGTCCTTATTACTAATTTAAAATAGTGAGAAAAATCATAACAATAATACTACTACTACAACTAGTATACTATATAAGAATTATCATTCAATTCCAACCGGCAATCTAATTAGAGTAGGGCTAAAAGTGATCTTTCAAACCTTTTAGATAGTCGAGAGGGGAGGTACTAAACTAGGTAGGCTTATTAAGGATCTCTATCTATTATAAAATTCGAAATCTTTCTTCGAGAAGGAATAGGGGTAATTATTAATTTCCTTAATAAATATTTCATTTAGGGCAATAATAAAAGAAAAGAATAAGATCCCTTCAAAAGGGGTCAAATGATTATACAATATTTTAAATAGATAGGAGTAAATAATTAGATATTACTAAAAACGGTCTTCGTAAATAAAAATATATAACTAAAACTAATAAATTAGTATAATAATTATCGTAATGATCTCTTATTATCTTATTAATTATTATTAATATTTTATTCTTCTGTCTTACTCTTTCTTACTATCCCTACTTTTCTTTTTTTTATTTATTAACTTGTTATTTTATTAGATAGATTTTTTCCTATTCTACCTTCCATTAATGTCAGTGATCAATATCTGTCAATCTTGTAAGTATATCCTTAATCTATATACCCCGCCGAATAAATGGAAAAAATTCATTGTAAAAATTAGTGTATGCACCCTTAAAGCATCCTGCTCCCCAAATCATTACTTAATTGTTTTCTCTTATAAAAACTTAGGTAGTAAGGAGTTGGGAGTGTTCGGGAGTAGTACGGGGGTACTAGAGCGTCTTTTAGCTTATTGGAGCGTTTATTAGATTCTATTTTATATATAGTATTTCTAGCCATTTTAGGGAGAGAGGTGGGAAGTAATATTACAGGGTTGGCGCCTAAGGGTATTTGCTTGGCTAGTACCCGTATAAGTTAGGCGTGCCTTTTAGTTGGGTGTACGGGCCGGTCGGCTATCAGTAGCCGTTTTAATACTGGATATATTGCGTGCTATTAGGTATATCCCTCGGAGTGCGGCGCACGGGCTATATTTCTAGTCTTAGTATTTCTAGTACCTTCGATGCCTACGCTTTTTATATATTTAGCTGTCGGCTCTGTACTAGCTATATTAGTACAGAATCTCCTCCTCTTTATTAATTATTTTAAGCTCTTTTTAAGGCCTACCTGCGTGTATACTTCGTAGATCCCTTACAGTTGTCCCGCTTAAGAACCTTAATATTATTTTATTATAGTCGGATTATTTTCCTATTGGCTAGGTAAACTTATTCTTATCTTATTATTATTTATTTAGTATAGTAGACTAATTAAATTAGTATAATTATTCGATGGGGATTATAGTATAGATCCGTTATTTCGATTAAGAAATTAAAGCTCGCTCTACAAGCATTCGCTATATAAGCCCGGTTCTACAATTAGTATTAAGACGCGCCGGGCGCACAAGACGAAAGCGCTATACCTATATATTATAATTAAATGCTTAATATTATCGAGAGTACGCAATTTTGGGGTAATATCGAGAAGCTTGAACGCTTCCTCTTACTACTTTACAAAACTCAACTCGCTTCTAAAGTAAATTAAACGTATATTAACTACATTATTAAGAAGTAGATTAAAGTATAGGGGGCATAGTAATAGTTTTAATATTTTATACCTTTTATTAAATAGTAAGAGTTCGAGCGATTCTACGCGGCTAGAAGGACCAAATAATTAAATCCCCTAAACTAGTTGGGGTTTCTTTTATTACCTTCTACTATAGTAGAGGTAATCGAAGCTATTTACTTACCTATTTTGGGTATTTAAATAATAGCTATTACCTTCCTTTAGCAATATAATTATTACTTTAACGTATTAGCTATACGAGTTATTAAAGACTTCCTCAATTTTAGAATCCGTAAGGGGATATACGCGCCGTACACTTAAGTCTAAGGGTTTAACTTCGAGCCTAAACAATTCTAAGTATATATAATAAATCGCCAATCTATTATAGCGCTATTCGTAGTAACGGTATTTAATACAGTAGCGAATAGTATCCCTTATAAACGAACCTTCTCGGTAATAAACTTTCTAGAGTTACTTATATATAATTAACTATTAAGGGAGCGGATAGATTAAGCTACCTTCGTCTTTATAAACGGGAAGCATCTATACTATTTAAATAGCTCCTTCTCTACGCTAACTTACAAAGAAAGAGAGGTACGTTTAATAGAAATTGAGGAACGCTTATTTAACAATATACCAAACGACAATCGAGTAGAACGGGAGGATTAAACAAGTAAACAAACTACCGCATCAGAAAGCAAGTAAATAAACGCTATAAAAAGACCAATCGATATTTATCCACGTAATTATCTTTTTCTATAGATTTCAACGATTCCAGTAAAAAATTTCAGCTAGTTTTTACTACCCTGCTCGTTTTGGTGGGCAAAAAAACAGTAAAAAATGTCATGTGACCTATAAATATAGTAAGACTTTTTATTTTTACGCTACTTTTACTAAAATTACTTTACTTGACCGCTTACAGGTATTACCGATCGACCCCTAATGTGAAGTGAATAGGCTGCCTTCAAGCTCCAGTGCCTTTCTGCCCTTTGTGGTTTTGTCAGGAACCAGTAACATGTCACTTGTACACTATATGTACAGTAGAAATGGAGACAGAGCAGTGATGAAGTGGGGCAACAACACGTGAGGATAGCTTTATCGCACAAGGTCCCACGGCCCGGCAAGCAAAGCAACATGCCATTCCATCGATGGAACTCATCGAAGTCGCGATAGTTCCAGCCGGCAACTCCAAACAAGTTGCGCTCCGTTGCCTCGAAGGGTGGACGAACTATCGACCGTAATGATGCGTCCATCATTGATATCTCTGCGCCGCCCCGCCCGGCAAATCCTCTTTTCCTCTGTCTCCACGATCCGAGCCGCGGCACCTGTCCCGACTGTTGCCACCCATCGTTCCCTAAGCACCAGCACCAGCACCAGCACCAGCACCAGCACCAGCACCAGCACCAGCACCAGCACCAGCACCAGCACCAGCACCAGCACCAGCACCGGCCCCGGCTCCGGCTGTATATGTGCAAACGGCAGCAGACGCCCTCAAGTACAACAGACCCAAAAACTCCAGCAGCAGCAACGGCAACACCGCAACGCCTACCACTCCTACGACCACCCATCCTCTTCCGCCGCCTTCACGCCCGTCGAGGAATCCATTCTCAGCGCCGCTTACCAGCACGTCCCTAGTCACGGCTTCACACCTTCTGCGCTCGCCGCCGGCGCCCGCGATGCCGGATACCTGGACATCAGCCCGACAATCCTGCCCGAGGGCGCTTTCGCTCTGATCCGGTATCACCTGGTCAAGCAGCGGGAGGAGCTCGCGGCTCGGGTAAGCGAACTCTTTGGGGGCGAGGGACACGTGGGAGCTAGACCGGGGCTGTCGGAGTGGGAGATCCGGGGGCGCGTGGAGGCGGTTACGTGGGAGCGCTTGTCGGCGAATGCGCAGGTTATTGGGCGGTGGCAGGAGGTTAGTTTTCCCATTTCCCTGTAATGCTCGTTGCCAATGGGCATTCGCTTTTTCCTCAAGAACCAGAAAAAAAAAGGCCGCTTGCTGGCTTGGATATCATTACGTTGACTTACATTGATGGACGTTACCACACTCTCTGTCTAGGCCCTAGCAATCATGGCACAACCATCTTACGTCCCTCTTTCGCTCAAGGAGCTCGCCCTGCTCTCGGATGAGATTCTTTTCCTCGCCGGCGACTCCTCCGTCGACCCGTCGTGGTATACCAAGCGCGCTTCGCTCTCCACCATTTACGCCGCTGCCGAATTGTTCATGACCAACGATCACTCCCCTGAATTCATGGATACCCGGGCTTTCTTGAACCGCAGGCTCAGGGAAGTGAGTGAGGTTGGTGGTGTATTCAGAAACTTGCGGGAGTGGGTTGGGTTTACTGCCACGGCGGGTGTCAATGTTCTGCGCAGCAAGGGTGTCAAGATATAGAATGCTTAGATCTAAAGTCCATAGCGAGGGCGCGCGGCGTACGCATATCAGTGAGCTTCAGCGATGATTGCCTCCAAAGGACCAATGGGACTTACCCTCCATAAACTATACAAAGAGACGACAAATGGACGGATGCAGGAGAAGGAAAAGGTTACACCCCGGGTAGAATATTTCATTGTAAGGTGACGTCCCATGCAGAGATTGTACAACATTTGTACACTCCAGGTGCGCAGGGTTAAGCATCTGCTTTAATGCGCCCCCCAACATGTCTGCCACAGACAAAAAGAAAATGGGTACGCTATGAAAACACAAATTGCAAACGCGCGGTGACATTCCATCCAGTCCATACAAAACGCCAACACCTCTCTGCGCCGCTTTGACGCTTGCCTATATCTCGACAGAAGTTTGTTCAGATACACACCCACGGAGATCAAAACTCAAGAACAGAAACGAGATGAAGGCAAAGAGTACTCAGTTTCAGTGGTCGGCCAACGTCCTCTGCCGAGGATCCGTCAGTCTAGAAAGACGTTATTAGTTCAAGCACAGGTCATTCTGGAGGAAGGGAAGGATACGTACCGAATAATCTTGACGTCCTTGTCAAGAGTGTTCCGCCCCTCGATGGCATTCGGTGTGATGAAAATGTACTGCCGATTCACGGACCGACGAGCAGCAGTAATCTGTGGCCACGTTAGCAACGGTTCATGGATATATCATTGCTTGTCTCCATCGTTGCTGTCATCAATAAAACTCACCAGCATGTTCGTGCTGATTGCACGGTTGACATTGTCCATGAACACGTCGAACTCATCCAAGCATCTGAGCGGGCTTCCCATGGCCTCCCAGATACTCAGCAGCAGACAGATTGATGAAAAAGACTTTTCGCCGCCAGATAGTGTCTTTGTGTTTCTCCCCGCTGCCCTCTTCTCGGTCTTGTCAGGCTCGACGACTAGGTCCAGAGCCTTCCGCTCGTGGTCCAGCAGCAACTTGCCTCTGAAGCCACGCTCGCTGAGAAGATAGATGAAGTTCGCCCGGCTCTGTGATGAAATGTACCGCTGAAACTTGCGCCACTTCTCGAGGCGAATGGTCAGCGTCCGACGGAGACGAGAGTTGACCGTCTTGATGCCTTCAAGAGATCTCTTGGCATCATCGTACGTCTCCTTCGCCCTCGTGAGGTTCGCATAAACTTCCTCGTCGGTCATGCCCCTCTTCCGTCGCTCTTTCTCGAGTTGATTCTGAATGCTCTGATACTGCTTTTCCAGCTCCTCGTACTTGTCGGTTGGGTTGACATGGGCTCGTTCTTCACTCCCTAATGCTTCAATGATCTGTTTTGTAAAAGTGGCGACTTCTTCGGCACCTTTTTCACGTTCCTTCTCGGCTTCCTCCTTGTCCCCCTTGAATATCTCGAAAGAGGCATGAGCTTCATTGACCTCGGTGAGATTAATCTTCCGAACATCTTCCAGCCTGGCCTTCTTCTCCTGCAATTTTTTCACCTCCCTTTCATATTTCTCCGATTCCTTCCTGATTTCCGTGAGCTGAGCCTGGGCTTCTGAGGATGCCTGGTTCTTCACATCCTTCCTTAACCGGAGGTTGCCGTACTGAAGCCCGCAAGCCTCCTCTTTTTCCTTGGCAACAGCCAATTCAGCCTTCAAGCCTGTAAGGCGAGAATCACCGCCTTCATACTCATCAAGTTGATACTGCACTTGCTCGACTTGAACCCTAGCATGCCGTAATTCGCTGTCAAAGGTTTTCTTGTCTCTCTGAAGCTTGGTGAGGTCGCTAGTGAACTTCTGGACCTCTTGCTGCAGTTGACGATGTTCACGATCAAGTACGCTATACTCTAGCTCCAGCTGCCGCAGGGTCTCCTTTTGATAAGCAAGCCGCGAGCCGACATCCGCCTTCATCCGTGGGCGCTGGTTACGGAGGGGCGGCACAGGAGAAGTCGACATTCCTCCGCTGTTGTTGACAACCAGTCGAAGACCTTCGTCTCTCTTTTTATCATGGAAACTTAGACAAGCCTTGACGTTTCGAGGTCGTGCTCCGCTGAACATGATGTCCTCAGCTTTAGTACGCTGTGGTATCAGTATGACCTGCTCAATCATGTGGTTGATGATCAACTGATCGCGCACCATCATGTTGTCGATCTTCAACACACGGAGAATGGTGTCAAAGGAAGGATCGGGCTCTTTGCCATCTGTGTTTAGGGGATGTCGATTGCCGATAAAAACCGGACACTGGCGGATGTTGAGCTTGTTCATCAAGCCCTGAAGCAATTTTTGTTCGGCCATGCTCTGGACGATGAATGCATTGAGGGCGTTTCCAAACGTCTTTTCCAGGATCAAAGACCACTCCGGCTTCAGCAGCTGGATGTGGGCGCCAAGCGGCCCCACCGGCTTGTTCTGGAATCTGGTCTCTTTCTCAATCATCTTCAGCAATTCAGGAAGTTTGGACTCATAAGCTGCATAGATAGAGCCTTGATCCTTTTCGGAGGTCCTCAACTCCTGTTCCGCTATGGTAATTTCATCCCGCTTGCGAGAGCATTCAACAGCCTTAGCGTCTCGGGCTTTCTGGGCTTCGTCTCGCTTGTTTAGTAGGTCTTTCTCGTCCTCTTTGGCCTTGGAAATCTTGGCCTCGACCTCTGTAACGTATTCCTTTGCCTTTTCAAGCTCCCGAGTTTTGGAAAGCAGGGCGTCTCCTGTGGCTTCCTCAAGTCGCTTTTCTTCGGCCGCAACCTTTTCTTCGAAGTCCTTTACTGTCGTGGCTGCACTTCTCAAGTTTTGGTGGGCTGCCCGTTCATCTGCTTGGATTTGTGCAAGTTCGTCCCTGATTGCTTGAGCTTTCTTCCTCCTCTCGTCCACCTGCTCTTCGAATTCGGTTTTTCGCTGGATAGCCTCTTCCAGTTTCTGCTGAAAGGCCCTGATCTGATTCTCGACGCGCTCCAAATCGACGCCCTTTTCATTTCTCTGACGGTCTGCTTCAGCCATTTGATCCGCAAGTTGGGCAATTTTCTCGTCCAATTTTGTCAGCTTGGCCTCTTCTTGAACTACTTGAAGCCAACACATCTGGCTCCGAAGCTGATGTTGTTTGGCTCTCAGCTTGCGATTTCCGTCCATGGCGTCCTTGAAGCTTTTTGCTCGTTTGAGTTCCTCCGCGGCTGCTTTGACCCGCTCCTCTTGGTCGGGAATTTTGGATTCCATGAGCTCCAGACTCTCGGCGATTAGCCTGTAGTCATTGTCCAGCTGTTGCAGCTGTACACCTTCGATGAAAAACTTGTACTTTTGCTGCTTGGTAGACGAGTTGAGGAACTGACGGGCATTGTCCTGAGAAAGCACGTTCAAGGGGTTGTCCACCTGGAGGGCGTAGTATTCGACGATCTCCTCGACTTCCTGCTTCTTGGTAGACACTATTTGGCCAGTGGCCGTCTTGACCTTGAAACTGCTGCTGCCGGATTTGGAAAAGTGCCGTTCGACGATGATGGAATCCCCGTAAACCTCATGTCTATAGGCATCTTGGCCCTGGTTCTTGATTTTGACGATCAGAACAGCCTTTTCGGTGCCCTCCTTGACGAAACTCTTGAGACTTCCTCCGCGATTGGTTGAGCTGGCCTTGCCACCAAGACAAAGAGTGATAGCGGTCAAGATGGCGCTCTTTCCACTTCCGTTTTCACCCACTATGAAATTGAGAAGCGGGCCGAGTTCACAGTGTAGTCGAGTGTGACACATGAAGTTGATGCACGTGATGCTTTCCAGAATGCCATTATCGGCCACCGCGTTGTCTCCCAACTGATTAGGTTTGAAGCGCAGTCTCTGAGTAGCTCGTTGGTCGTCGGCATCCTGATGTTGCAGATGCTCAAAGTTATTGTCACGCATCAACTCATATTGTGTTTTGGGGGGCGAATCCGGTGATCCTGCATGACCTCGTTCATCGTCGACATCAACGTCGTCGTCATCGACTGGAGTCACGTGGCGTGCGGTATCTACACGAGCTCTTTTAGCCTGATTGGCATTGGGGCGCTGTGTAGCACGTTAGCATGTAGGTTTCTGGGTTTCAGGAAACGTGCGGCTGTGTAGATATATTGACGTCGGCGTGCAGATGGAGATGGGTTGTACGACTTACTGCGGCAATTTCTCCCTCGCTGTCATCGCTCGTGGGCGCCGGCCGTTGACGTTTCCGTGAGGACTCGGCGTTGGCCTCAGCTTCGAATAGTGTTCGCGCTGGCATGGCAGAAGTTCTGAATGGCTGAACCCAGCCGTACGTATCTGGGTAGGTAGGATCCTGCGCAAGTACCAGAGAGGGTGGAAGAAAAAAAGAACCCGGAATGGAAGAAGCTTGTTTCGAGAGGAATGTTGATACTGTCAAATGTTGTAAAAGAGCCCAGATGCCGAGGAGCGCCGAGCGCTGCACTCCCTCTTTTTCGAATCTGTTCTGGGAGGCTTTTTTCAACCCTCAACTCCAAAAGAAATACGCATCTGCCATCAACAGGCAAGCACAGGCAGTCAGTCCACTGTTTGTGTCAGCCCAGGTGGACATGGATAAGTGGAAAACGCGTTCCAACGCGGGGGGTCAGGTCTTCACCACAACTGAAGGGCCCGGTCGCCCCACTTAGCGCATATGGTTCGGAGTCCCATTAGCGGGCTTCTTCGCTCAAGGTACACAAGCGCGTCGGCTTTACGAGCGAAGTCACGGGATCGCGTATCGAGCAGGTAGCTATGGTAAAGGTCACCTACTTGTATGTCTAACCCCCCCCTGTCCCACCTGCTTAGTGCGTACACTAGTGTACCTCTAGGTAGCGGGCCCGGAGGTTTACCAAAAAGTCAGAGAGGTGTAGGTACCTTATGTACTTGCGAGTAGACACCGATCAAACAAACACGGACCTGCTCAACACACGAGAAAACCACAAATTCCCTGCTGAATTGAATGACAATTTTGAAGGCTCATTGGCTGGACTAGATTGGTTCGATTGTGTCATTCTTCAATTATAACGTACACGTGCAATCAACCGCAAGTGACCCGAGGCGTCAACAATCCGCAGTAAAGGGACACTCACACCCCTCTAGACACTTGAAAGTTGAGAAGCAAGAAAACCCCTTGAGTAGAAGACTGAAAACAAAGATGGAGTCCACCAATGAGCCAAGGCCCGGAGACGACGCCTTCAATGGCTTCCAAATGAGCCTCCCAGAAAACTGTGTTGAGTACATGCTCTTCCTCATCAACGATCAGCCTGAAGCCCAGAGAACCACCCTCTCGAGTCTGGAAACAATCAGGAAAGTGGCCCTTCAAAGGCTTGATGAGCTCACCAAGGATTATATCTGGCAACGCGAGGTTTTGAAGCTCGAAACGAGGATCGAGAATGGTACGTCTCGCCTTGCT